TGCAAAAATGAGCATAGCGAACATCAAAAAAGTTGAACGGAACCATCCCTCCACATATTCATGTGATCGTACTGGTACAAATGTCGATATTATTAACGTTTAGATTTAATCATTAATTAAAGCAATATTAACATTTACAATGCTAATACTGTTTTTAAGTAAATGATAATACTGCACTGCGTATATATTTTTTAAGTAAATCATTCTTTCATTCTTTAGGCCACTATTTACCGTATACTTATGATTAATTATTTGTATTCATTGTTACTAATCAATAACCAATTCTATTTATTTCACCTAAACTATACAAATACAAGTCTTTTTAGAAATATTACTCGTTTCCACGGTTATTGAAAAAAAAACAAGTTCTAACTAATATATAAATTACGACAAAAAAAAAATGAATGCAATTTCGATTATAAACCTTTAGAATCAGCAAATCCAATTCTTAAGTTATCATAATCAAATACACTATAAACATTCGATAAAAAGGCAGCACCAACTACCCACAAGTCCAACTGGCCTCCCTGGATTTCTGATTCGCACATTGAATTGCTCTGATTTGGCGTTTTAACTAATTCAGTAGGGCTAATTTTATACGATATGTTATTAAACACTAATGACACAATGTTTGTTGTGTTGCATGGAATCGACCATATCCCATTATTAAAGGAACTACCAGGAATCATTGAATGAATCTTTGAGACTTGATTAATGTCACCAACGATACTTGGAGTACCTAATTATTGAAACAAAGCAAAATTTAATCTAAAGTCATTAATTATTTGAAAAATAAATGACACAAAACGATGCAGACCAGTATCAATCAAAGCAGGAGAATTAATTCCTCCAATTGAAACACCGTCAACCTGAAAATCACTCAATGCTACCATCCAAGTCCCCGGGAATTGTGTCTGATTGACAAGATTGTTATATACAATATTTCCAATATAAGCATTTGCATCAAGGCTTCCGAGATTCATGAAACTTTGATCAGTATTGTTTAATTTATATCTTCCCAAATGAAATCCGAGTATGGTTTGATTAAGCATTTTTTGATCTTTAATTTTTTGAATAATGCCAGGATATGAAATTGGACCATTTTGACGAGAAAGACCAAGAATACCATCTTCTTCATAAATAGAATTAAAGCCATCAACTGATGCCATTCCAAATGTTAGATTTGTAATTGAAATTCCACCGAAAATGACAGTATCTTGACCTATACTACCACTAATAATGGTACCAGTACCGTAAGAGCTGGAAAAACTACTTTGTAATGGAACAAATGTTGATGATTTTGCAGGATCAAATCGATTATGAGTCCCACATTGTGATGAATTACATTGAATACCTGGAACCCAAAGATCTGGTGATCCGGTATCAAGGTTAACAGTAAGATTTTGACCACCAATTGTTATTAGACTATAATAACTAAAATCTAAGTTTTGTTCATTAATTAAAGGTATGACTGTATCACGTCCGAATAATTTAGAATATTTCATGGTCATTAATGATTGTTGTTTTTCAGGTGATGTCTCTCTTCTAAAGAGTTCAATTATTATATAATTTGAATCGGAGATCGATTCCACACCTGAAAATGTTATAAGCAGTATAAATGCTATGAATGATACGAGATTCCAATAAAACCTTTTCATCCTTGAGATGAAGCTTATGAAAAGTTTATGAATCTTTTAAACAAAATTTCTATTAATTAGTACAAATAAAAAGGTCGCGGAGCATTTACTTCGTAATGATATGGTTGAAATGGTTGAAATAATGACGCTTTAGTATTTACAAGGAATTTGAAATTCTACCAGTGGATATCATAGACCAAAAAAAGATAAATTGTATAATACAAGGCAATAAAAAAACATCAAATATTTTATGTATAATTTATAAAAAATGTTATAATTTGTTTAAGTTAAATTCTATTAGAATAATATATAGTTATTGCATGTGAAGTATGAAATAACGGTTTTATTCAATAATTTTACTATTTCAGTTTATGAAGTAAGACGATAATTTTATCACGTAAAAATGGCATAAAATAATTGTCGCGGCTGAAGCTTGTAACGGCTAAAGCTTGAAATTAGGGACCTCAATTTAAAACATATAAACCCCTACAAAATCCACTTATACATGTTTATTATTAAAACTAACCTTAA